AACAGAAGTCAGTATGGACCTTTGGGCCACTCCCTCTGCCAGGATTGATGGAAAGAAGCTGCGGGCGGCGGAAGACATATGACATATGATCGACAGAGGCCGCTGCGTTTTACACTTTCGTTCGGTCAGCATGTTGGGTTTATGGAATCCTGATTCGCAGTCGCAGGTGGTGAGTTTGCTTTGCGGCGCTGGAGCTGGGTCTGAGGGCTGAGCTGAGTGTGCTGTTGGCCGACATCTCCGAAGAATGAGCAGTCATAACTCATAACAACGATATGTATAGTATAGGCCTAGGCTTAGGTCGGGCTTCGGACTTCGGACATGTGACACAGCTCGAAGCAACCAGTGGCAGTAGAGGCATGTGATTACAAGCTGCAAGCATAAAGCAGAGGCTGCAAACAAACTCTCACATGAGCTGTGGATGTCACTGCTTTGGCTGTCGCTGGAAAGCTGCAGAAGCCTTCAGCTCTTCGACCTTAAATCCAGCGGGCGCTCGCTGAAAAAAGAAGTCTGAGCCAGGAGTTATCCAACACTGGATATAATTATTTGCCAATATGATTCTCGAACGCTCATGTCCTGTATCAAGATGGAATTTGAAAGTATTGCTGTGCAGATGATACACGCGCTGAGTTCGAAGACGAAATTGTTACAGTGACACAGAGTCCAGACGTTTGTTCGGACAGACTCGTGTTGAAGGCCATGGTGACGGATTTTTGATATAGACAGTGCCGCGAGTATTTCCAGCGAGTTCCTGCCCAGAGCACGGACCATGCATAAATCTGACAAATCTAGCTTATTCACCGTTTCAATTTTCCCAGATCTCCATAGAGGTGCTTGGATACCGAGTGGATGCTCCCTATATTTTGATCAACAGCACGACGAACCTGTTCTTAATTTCATAATTTCCTTTTTGAAGAACACACAGAGACTTTGAAAGATACTTTTTTTTAAATTTTTCAGATCATTATGGAGTTCATTTATTTTCGAAATAGTTGTTGGCAGGTCTATAATTGATATGATCAATAATATCACATATTATATTGAAGTTCAATTAATGAGCTATTTGATTTGTTTACACTTCCATATACTCAAGAGATTGTTTTTACGGTTTGTGTTTTGCTCAGGCTTTGGTCCATGTTTGCACATTCACTCAACATTGAAACTCTGTGTCTTTGTCGAGTCGCAGGATTTTCTTGAAGAGTGATGATTTCTCGCAAATTTTTGTTTGTAGCATGCTTTCCGGAGCTAATAGTAACTCAATAGTATCGTTTGGTCGAATCACCCCCGAACACCCTGGCCAGCACCCCCGGTTTTGCAAGTACCTAGTATGTACTTAGAACGAGATTGCTTAGACAGGAAAAAGCAACATAACGCTTCAAACAACGTTTGAGTTACCTTTCCTACTAATTTAAAGCCTTGTGTTACTTTTTCCGGTTGTGTCAATGATTTTGGAATGTACTTTCCTGCGACTTTCAGAATTACTTTCCAAAAGTGGAGTGGCAACCTTCGAGATACAGGCGACACAAAGAGTTGATAGAGGGAGCCTGAAACCACAGACGTGATCATGGCAGGCTGCTTTTCGCGGGTAGCCTGGTGTTTGGTAGCGGCATCAGCCCTGTGATCTTGATTCCTGCGTGTGTCACAGACGCGTGGTTCAAAGCTTCACTTTTCTGGCATTGTGCTTGGTGCTCACTCAAACGGTGTATCATGTGGACACCGATGCATCTTCTGACCAAAAGGGAGGTTTCGACACATTGCATATGACGTCAACGGCTTGTAAACCCTTTTGTCTGTGTGCTTCAACACTTTCGACTCTAAACTGTTCCAGAGATTGTGAGTGGGGTTGTTTGTGTTTGCTTCTTGTGTTCCGATGTGTGCTCATTTGTTTGAAAGACGTTTCGGGCCCCGTAGAAAGTTGGGGGCCGATTTTGTTCATTTGCAATGAGACTGGTTAATGTTGTTAAGACGCACGGGACAAAGAGAAATTGGTGTCCAGGCTTCAAGGGCCATCTTGTCGGCTCATTTGGTTCATCATGAGCATCTCGCTGTTATCAGCAGGGGAACCTCTGACACAAACGGAATACATCTGCTTACAGACATATCATCCACATGGCAAAAATCTGTAGTGCATATTGTATAATCAACGCAAGAGTATATACGATGCAATTTGCAAAGACACAAAATCCAAGATATCGCAAACAGTATAAAAGACATAAGCAGTACATATATGAATATATGTATGTGTATATCCAGTATACTCAAGTATACACAACAATTAAGTAGATTCCAAATGTAAAAGTTGTTGTATATGTACAGCAACAAATCTCGAACATAGAAGTTGTCATTATCAAGTTTTGTCATGAGGAATGTTACATTATCTAAATGCTGCAACGATGTAAGCCATGCTGGGGACACTTCGTCACTTCGTCATCCGTCGACATCCACATGGTGAGACAATGTGAGATTCAAGATCGTAATGTCGCCAAAGGAGTGACACGTGCAAGTAAGAACATTTACTTTTTTTGGTGCTAGCTGCTATCTTCAGCTTTGCCCTTGATATCACGCGCTAGACAAAGTCACAGGCCAACATTGCAGCAACTCATGCATGGTCCCAGTTTAACTGCACAGGTGCAGTGCATCAGGCAAAAGGATTTCGTCCAAGTGAGCACATACCAACAGGACGCGGGAGCTTTGGTAGAACGATACATAGAACCGGATCTTCAATGAGCCTGCAGAAAGGGGGTGCGGTTGTCTGAGATCAGACCAGGTTGAGATCAACACCGTAGAAACCCGCCGAAACAAACGACCCCATTTCTGCGTCGTAAGGAAAAAACGTCGACATCAAACACCGCAATATATGGAGCAACTTTGCATAGGTTTTGTTCCACATCTCTCAAACTTCACGGACTTTCTGCCCAACAGTGCTGAGTACATTCCATCTCAGACATGCATGGATGTGGATGAGAGATCAGTTGACGTGCGGAAACACGAAATTAAGGCAGCTTTACCTCGTCTGTTTCCGGAACGCAGCCATGGCAAAGTCCGGACACGCCGGTCCTGGAAGCGTCCTCGTCTATTCGCATTCATGGCTTCCGGGCCAAGTTGATGGGGTGGCAATTCGAATGATGGCGCATGTTCGTGCCATGGTCAAGCGTGGGGTGAAGGTTACGCTGGTTACGCCAGACTTTTTACTTCCAGACAACCCGACCGTCCCTAAGCTTGAGGCAGTGGACGGTGTTGAGCATGTGACGCTACGAACGGCGAGAACGCCAGTCTACAGAAAGAACATGTGCATGGACCTTTCGTTTTTTAACTTGAGGACGCTTATTGCATTGATTCAGCGCGTGCAGCCAGATCTAGTGCATGCTACACAGGAAGCTTCCATGCAAGTGATGGCTGCAGCATGTGCATTTTGCAACGTGCCCTTGCTGATTTCACTCCACACAGATGTTGCACAGATCGCTGCGCGGGATGAGAACTTCTCTTCATTGAACGGTTTGCTTGGGCAGATGCATACCTGGTTTTCAGTTCGCATGGTGTATTGGGGTTACAGAAATTGGGCCTTGTCGGGAGCCACGTATTTTCCGGTGTCCAAGCAATCCCTGGTCATCTTGCGGAATGCTGGGGTTGCCGAGCAGCGCGTCGCTCCGGTGATTTGGGGTCCCATGGTTGACCGCGAGACTTTTCGGATCGACTTGCCAGAGGAGCACGTCCAGGCCGTGCGCAAACGCCTGACCTTCGGAGCCGAAAAGGCATATCTGTGGGTGTATGTTGGTCGGGTTACAGCGGAGAAGGACATTCAGTTTCTGGTAGACGCCCACAAGCGTGCCCCCAAACATGTGTATTTGGCGCTGATCGGTCCGGGCTCTATGGTGCCGGAGCTGAAGCAGTTCCACGGTCCTGAGCATCGCTTGCATCCTCAGCCTGATTGGCCATTGCTTTGTGCCATTGTGTCGCAGAGGTAGAAGCATCATAATAGAGTGCAAAGCTGCTAGTCGGTTTCTGCGAACAAGGTATTGCACTGGTGACATGGCCAGTCGAGAGGAGGTGGCATTGTGTTTCCGTGCAGCTGATCTCCATGTGTCCGCAAGCACAATGGAGACAGTTGGCTTCACAGAGTCTTAGTCCGCATAGGGGGCGGATGTGTGGCAACTTCTGTCTATCTCTCATTCAACCATGCAATGTCGGGTAGCCATTGACCATTGCATGCAGCTTCAGTTTCAAAAGGCCATGGAAGCCCTGAGCTGTGGTACCCCGATGCTGGCGGCCAACGCTCAAGGATATGCCATGTATCTTTCGCACGGTGTCAACGCCTCTTCGCAAGCAGAAGCATGTTTCACGAAACCTGTTTCCCTGCGATATCTTGCGATGATGCACCGAGCGCAGTGCCCCACTTCAGGCTCGACTCTTCACACCCGGGAGCTCGTCCTCTTTTGACGAGGAGCTTGCGAAGATCATGGAAACCAAGCGCGAGGGCGACTGGTCGCCAGAGTCCATCAGGGCCACCATGGCTACCCGGTTGCACCGAAAGCCATTCAGTTGATATTTTCGGGGAAGGAGTTCGTAAGGCCGCATATTTGTAGCCTGGTGGAACTCCGATGCCAGGCGATGGCGTCCATCGATGCTTGCACCGATCGCGCTTTCCAGGCCTACCTGACAAGCCCTGCCACTGACTGGCGTGTTGTCCGCTTGCTGATAACAATGCCTCTTGGCTGACACAGCGAGAGGTGAAGATGCTTTAAGTAGGTTCTTGTAAGCGTACGGCTGAGTTAACCTAGGTTCTATGTTGTCCTCAACGTTTTCTTCGTCCAGACTTTCTTTCCGTGACATGAGACTGTTTAAAGAGTCCGCCGAGTCTAGGGACTTGGCGCTTCGAGAGCACCTCTCCGAAGGGAGCTTTGTTATTGTACAGGTGTGCTTGAGACCAGAGAAGTCTGATCAAAGCGCCAGTCTTGCACGGCATGCCAAGCTCGGCCGCAGCCGGATCTCTTGTGTGAGGGGCCATGGGCTTTGGCTTGCCTTTTTGCTGCTCCCAGAAACTCCTAGCAACCGAGCAGTCATGTTGGGGAGCTTCTGGGCATTCTGGTTTTCCGAGCAGTCCAGTTTTCTCAGGATGGACACTGCACGAAACAGCAGGCATGATCTCATTCTTGCTACAAAGATGCTCTTCCACTGTGTGAAGATGTGTGAGGCGTCCTTGCCATGCCACTGCATGACGGTCGCTGCATCTGTAGCGCCCGGCCTTGATTCCGGCTTAGACTTACCTGACATGTGCTGATAGAGCTGCCTGCGAGAACTCTCGAATGATGTCCGGGTCGTCTTTCCGAGGGCTGATGCTTGCCCACCTGATCGGCTGTGTCGCTGCAATAGTCTGCCCACCGGAGCTTGTGCAGAGTGCCCCTGTGGGTTTATCCGAAGGTGCCAAATGTGGTGGGACCTGCAACACCCACGGAAGTTGTGCTGCCGGGCTCGTGTGCAAGGAGACGCCTTCCCCTTTCCTGGGTGTGAGGCCGGCTGGTGTCTGCAGCGCTGGGTTTGGGGGGAGCCATGTGGCGCTGGACAGCAAAGATCTTCAGACCGTAGTCAAGGAAGCCGTGCAGCTCTTGAATGGGCAACTGCTACTCTGTTTGCAACTATCCCGACTTCCTGCCGCGTAATCGCTCGGGTTTTTTATTGCCAAGGAACAGCATCTACATGCTGGTGCCGGTTGCTATTCTGGGGGCTGAGAAGAAGGACAATTTCGAGGGCGTCGTGCCAGGACCTTACCCTGAGAATGAAGTCAGGAAGGTTTTGTCGAAGCTTCTTCCGAGGTACGATCTGTCCCTTGCCCTGGCTTCCAGCACGTGTCGGAACGATGGCAGCCGCAGCCCACTGGATCCAAACTGCCAGCCGCAGCATGGTGTCACTCCCATGAATCTAGATCTCGTCGTACAGGAGAAGGACCAAGACCTTCCAAGAGATGCTGCAATGTGTTGATTTGTTCCGACATTGTGCAGGACTCCCAGTATGCATTACTGGGTCATTCCAGCATTGACCGTCCAGTCCCGGTGGCGCTTCGAATCTGAGTCGGCCACGCCGGCTCCATCCGATGAATGCAGCTTCTATCGCATCTCCTAGCTGACTGTACACAAGATATGGTAGCACGTCTCATGTACATAAATCGTACTATTGCTCACCATAGATAGACAACGTGGAGAGCTGCAGAAGAAAAGCTTTCTGAACCTTGCACAAAGAGCGGCACGGTGGGGCTCCTCGCGGATGTTTTGTTTCTCCTCGGGCTTGAGACGAGACTGTGCGCCGCCAGCGTGGAGCCCAGCGCCGACGGCTGGAGATGCCTCCGCAATGAACTTGGTTTGCTTCTTGCGCCAGGGCGCTTCAAGTGAGTCAGAGCACCCATGCTGGCAAGTCACGGGCTACAAGAGCAGAGTCGACTTTAGATGTCTGTTTGCCCTGCATGTGCCTGCAGAATGCAGAATTGCCCTGTCCTGAGTGTAGGGAGTGCAGTGGGAGCGTGGACCTGCGGGCCTTCATAAAGAGACCAGCGATTTGAGGCAAAGGTCACATGGCCCACTGCTGCCCCGATATTCTCGATCCCGAGGCCTGCAGATCGCATGCTGCGCAGAAGTCATCAAATTTTTTTATCTTCGAGCAGGCATGGGCGATGTTCGGCAACGCTTACGTGAAGGTGCTGATAAGATGCTGACGCACTGTTTCGCTTTCTCGGGTGCCTGGCCGGCCCAAGGAAGCGCTGTCGCGACAAAGCCTCGCCGAGACGTCGCAGCGCATCCTGGATCTTCGCTTCGGCTGGGGCGAGGCTCCGCAAACCGAGCCCCAAAACGCCCTGTGACGGCGCACCTCTGCTATAGGCCGATGCCCAGCCGCTCCTCCCGATGGACTGAGCTGCTGAGCCAGCAGAGCCTTAGCAGAGCCTTGAGCGGCTTGCGGTGCCCGTACTTCTGTTCGATTTTCGCGAGATTTGCGCTCAAAACGGCACAACAGCACAGCACGCACCCGCCTCCAACTCTTCCCTGCCGCGATGGTGCTCCCTGAGCTGAAGGTGCCGGAAGCCTGGGCCTTGGTGGATCTTCGATGCGATCATGGGTGGTGCTGTCTGCTCTCAGAGGTGCCTCCGGCCCCTTTGCGCCCGACCGTGGTCCGTGCCAAGCCCGAAGGGCCCAAGTGCAGCGACAAAGCCTTCAATTGCAAGGCACATGCACAGAGGAGAGCACTGGTCCATGCTCTTATGAGCGATCTGAGCTGGAGGAGTGCAGCCAGAGCTTCGACACTGCCGCAGCCCCAGAGCTTGCATCACTCACTAGGAGACGCTTTGTGTGAGCTGTGTGTGTTGCCGAGGATCATGCGCTGAGCCTTCATGTCAAGTACATCCACAGGCCCGGGGCACGGTCTGACGGTCTGGCTTGTCGGGAAGAGGAAGTGTTCAGCACAGGTCCAAGGAAGACTAAAAGAGCCACAGAGAGGCTCTCCTTTGAAGGCCTGGCGGCCGAGCAGTCACAATGAACTCCAGAGCCGTCTCCCATGACCTTGCCAGGAAATCCGGGATGTGCACAGACGCGGTCTGACCGCTCTTGTGGCGACGTCCCGGAGCAATTTTCAACGAAAGCTGAGACCTATCCCTCAGCAGATGTAGCCTGATGGGCAACTGAAGCCAGACCTACGGAATCCTCCCCGTGAGAAAATCAGACCTGAGCGGCTGCAGCGTTCCCATTCCCAGCTACGCATGGTCAAGCCATTCCCCGAGCATTCCCAGCTTGACAGGAGATTGCTGCCAAGCTCTGTGTGAAGGTTCATCTTGTCGCGAGTGCCTCGGTGACCTTGGCAGCGTGAATGTTGTGGTGTTCTGGAGAATACCAATGTCTCATACAGGTCAAAACCATCCAGCAACTGCTTCGATGCATCCCGCTGGTAGCGGATGCGGATGCGTTGGAGGTTTTGCTGGAAGATGAAGACCTGCTGATAGTTGCGAAGCCTGCAGGCAGGAAGTCTCGACCGCGTCTAGAGAGTATCCCTAGACCCGAAATGCATCACAACCGCAACTGCGCGGTGGCTCCAGGTCTTCCAGTGTCGCCATCCAATCGCTACCGTGGGGGAGCTTTGCTCAATCAGGTGCCTTGTTCCGCCATCTGCTGTCTTCTGCTGTCTTCGATTCGCGAGGCTCTCTCCCACTGTGGGAGTCTGCCACACACCGTGCATCGTCTGGATTGTGGTACCAGCGGTGCCATGGTGCTGGCCAAGACGCCGAGTTGTGCTCGCTGCCTGGGAGCTACTTGCCCAGAAGACCCCGCTCCCCCTTGCGGTGCTGCTGTGCAAGAAGCACGCACACACAAACGCTTCTGATCGTGTCTTGACCTTGAGGCTCAGTTTCGGGAGTCCCTTGTCGAAGCTCGTCCTAGCTGAGCTCTGTGAGAGGGAGAGCTTAGCGGCTTAGCAGCTTCCATGGGCCGTGTTGCTTCAGGAGAAGGTCTACCTGCTCTTGAGTGTTCGGAAGGGCACCAGTCCTTGGCCGAAGCTTGCACGCTGCAGCGAGACGGTGCAGAAGGTGTGGGCGTTGGATGCTGTGGGGAGCTTCTCTGGGTTCAGTTATGTCTCCAGGAGGAGTCCGAACTGGATCTTTCCAAAGACAAAGACTTCTCGGTTCATGTTCCCATCGCTCGCCACACGGGTGGCTGGCAAGCGGTGAACGCGGATGGTGCTCAGGCCCCAGCTTTTGCTTCGCCAGCGGGCTTTGCCGGCTAAAGCTGTGGGCAGGCTTTGACACAGTTTGCGCTCTTGGCTTGCGGGGAGCAAGTGGCGCTGTTGATGGCAAGACCTTTGACCGGAAGGCCACTCCTCGCTTTTTGATCAGGCATGATCGCGCAAGATTCGCGCTGCGTCCTGCTGGAGGACCCATCAAATTCGAGTCCATGTGCCTTGGTCCTTGGTGGTGTCAGAAGGTCTTCTTGCCGATGACATGCGCGCAGCAGTGCAGCAGTGCAGCAGTGCAGCGGCCCCTTGGCCCAGGCTTCGCATGCAGGGCTGCCTCTCCTTGCCGATGAGGGGTACGGTGCGCCTACAGCGACGACTATGTCTCGTCACGCTCTGCATGCCTGGGTTCTGGAGTTCCAGCACCCTCGAGGTTCTCAAACACGTGGTATGCTTAGCAATGCAGATGCAGATACATCAAGTGTTGACGCAACGAAACAGGCACCCACCGATCCAAGGTGCAGAAGCCGGCAAGTTGCCTTCAGACTTCTTGAGCGCCGTGTCCGCGCATGGGCTTCAACTTCCAAGCCTGCACCTCTGCATCCTTCAATCATCGATGTCAGAAGCCAAGCTGTTATTCTTTTTGCCAAGGCCCTGGTGAAATGGTGCTTGCCCATGAGCGTCTCAAGGCCATGCATACTTGTCAGATGTGCGGTGCTGGAATCGAAAGACGGCGTCTGCTGAGCCGCTGTGTGGCCTTTGCCTTTCGACACTTGGCACTTAGCGGCGACTTGCCCGAACGTCTTCTGCCTTCTGTGCTGCCGCACCGTCTTGCCTTGACATGCTGCCGTTTGCAAGCTTTACTCAGATGCGTAGACGGCGAACACAGTGTCAAGAAGCGCAAGACAGCCAAATCTGCAGCCGCATATCATGTGAAGCTCTTGTTTCTCAGACTCAGTGCAGCTTTACCCCAGACCGCTCCACGGCCAACGCGGCCGCCTGAGCAGCTTTGGCCATGGCTGGCCTGGAGCGACAAGCGCCCGAATGACTTGGACTTTGTCTCCGTGTTTTTTTCTGGTCCGCTCTCGCAGGAGATTCCGCTGCAGCCGCCGCCGGACATCTACCGCCCGGCTCCGGCTGACAATCGCCAGGGTCAACCAGCGAATGTGGGAGGTGCCCAGGGCCCCCAGGCTTAGCTGTGACTGAACTCAACTTCCAGAGGTTCGGCAGCCAAGCCGCCACGTCCCTCGGCCTGTTGTTGGTTTTGGTGCTCCGAAAATTAGCCTCCACAACAAAAAAACCGAGGCAGGAAGAGGAGCTGCTGCTGCAGCCTCGTGCTCGCAGGCCTTTGCTGCACCTCAAGGGAGCAGTTCCCCATAGGACTCCCTGCGCCTCTTGCACTGCCGCAGTTGGAGCTGTCCTCGTCGCCATGCTACTCGCTTGGAACTGCTACGATCTCCTGCAGCGACTTAGAGGACCCTAGGACCCAAAAGCAATGGCAACGGGGATGTGTGCGTGAGTCAAGTGGGTCGGCCGCGACTGTAGGTCGAAAGCAGTAGCAGGTAGCAGGAATGCACACTGCACGCCCTTGATTGGCATTGCGTGTTGTGCTTTGACCTTGAGTGCAAAACAGTGCCACCGACCCGAGATAGCCTTGAGCCGTCGCGTAGGCTAGTGAACCGTTACACGCACGTACCTAGCCCATGCTCCGCCCACTCGCCTAAAGCACGACAGCGTCACCAGAAGTGAGCGGCTTTACCAAGTGTGTCTCTCCTTTTGTGAACCACGTGTGAATTGCAGGACGCCAGCGGTCCTTGAACGTGAAGCAGAGCTTCAGCCGAAGGCCGAGGATGCGTTGCCGACATCGGCCAAAGTCGCGCTTCGAATCTCGAGGACGGAGATCGAGCTCCAGATTCACACGAGAGTCCCGGACATGTCGGACCCAGGGTGGCACAAAGCCGGTACGCAGTGACAGACGATGACAGACGTCGGGTCATCACGGATTGGAGATTTCCGAGCTGAGCGCCCGCGAGCGGGGCCGCACTCCCGAGTGCCTAGGACTTCGATGTGCGGAAGATTGCCGCGGCAATCGACAAGCACGAGAATTTCAGGCCTCCTGGCTGGGGTGTGACCGGGTAGCGATTCGAAAGCCTCTGCTCCTTTGTATGAGAGGCCTGGAAGCTTGCGAGTGACCGTGGCCTGGCTTTGGAAGTGCACGCGGTGACTAGAAGGCCGCTCTGCCTCTGCCTCTGACAGTCTGAGGCCTCCGTCTTCGACAAGGACCTTAGTTTGCATTCTGCTCAGCAAGGCCGGCAGCCTGCCGCGCCTGCAGGCCTGACTTGAAAGGAAACGGTCGGGCCATGATCCGTGTGGGAGGTGGCAGCAAGAAGGTGGTGCAGCGGTACCGAAGGAGACTGGTCACGTAGGATGCAAAAAGCACGTTTTGGATCTGCCCTATGACTTAATGACTTAATGATTCAATGTCCCTATAGGACGAAAGCACTGGAAGCTGCTTTGAAAGACGTGATTCACGAGCAGCAAGATGTTTTCTTCCCCGTCAGGCCATGATTCAAGGGTTGCTTACTTCGTGCGTGTACAGCGGGCTCTGACCTTGCTTTCGTTCTTGAGGAGTGAGATCTTCTCGGCGTACCGGAAGTTTTTCCTAGGATTTCCAAGCATCAACGGCAGGCCGAAGCTGACTGAGCTGACTAAGCTGACGTGTGTGGGTTCGAGTCGCGTGGTTGCGCAGGGCCTGCTCGCTGCCGGCCTTGCAGCGAGAGCTCGGGGCGATGGACAAGGCCAAGAAGGCCGAGTACTCGAAGCAGCTGCTGGAGGCCCGCCGCGGAGCGGAGCAGAGCGATGTTTTCTCGACATGTTTGCAGGGTCTAAGGCTCGAACAGGCATCATAGCTTTTGAACGTGGCTTAATTTCCAAAAACCAAATGATTTTGAATGGAACTTTATCATGCCATCGTTTGAACATCATACTGCTCACAATAGCTTCGAATTACTCACCACAATTCATACGATATAGACTTTGTATACGTCGTGTTGAACTCATGTGTGCTGTGATTGTATCACACAATTCGTGCAGAGGTGCCATTTATGAATAATTCAAATCGAAAGTAGAGTGGGGTATTTCAGGCTTGTGTAAAAGCTTTGAGTGCAAGAGATTACATTGGACTCCATTCCTTCTTGACAGCGGAACCCAAAACGTTCTCCTCTTCTAGGGGTGAATCAGGACCCGTTTCAGCATTCTCTGCACTCACTTCAGGTTTTTGGGCGTGCCACCTACCATCTCATGTCAAGGTTTGGTCCATCATCTGCTTTTGAGGCTGGATGTTGAGAGTAGTGGGGGTTGCCACCCATCAGCTCCCTTGGCAGCTTTCAGATTGGGGGGATTTCTTTCGGATTTTGGATCGGGCTTTTGATCAGCTAGGGTCCGTTGCTATTAAGGTTTGGGGGGGCTCCGGTCTGCCACCTGCCACGTCTGATGAGAGTTTGCCTTGCCTCTTTAGGGCTGAATGTTTGAATCATCCTTGGAGATATGGGGTTTGCGAGCCTGCGAGCTTCTGCCAGGGTTTGGTGCTTAGCTTAAGGGTTGAGGGTTTGCTGCAGGCGTCGGGCCTTCTTTTGAGAGCTGGGGTTTGGCACACTCAAGGTTTGCAGGCTTAGGGTCCAACATCTTCTTATAGGGTTTGGCTGTTTTGGGGGCCTACTTGAGGGCTGAGGGTTAGTGACTTCGAGGTTCTTGGGCCTTGCCCTCCCTCACACTTCATTGGGGTCGGAGGTTTTCTGCAGTAACCCGGTTTGAGGTTTCGGGGTTTCCCACCCGCCATCTTTTTACAATCCTTACCAGCATTTGGGATACTTGGGAACCAGCTGCTACTATTCCCACAGCAACAACTACTACTACCACCACCACTACCACTACCACTACCACTACCACTACCACTACCACTACCACTACCACTACCACTACCACTACCACTACCACTACCACTACCACTACCACTACCACTACCACTGCTACACTGCCACTGCCACTGCCACTGCCACTGCCACTGCCACTGCCACTGCCACTGCCACTGTCACTGCCACTGCACTGCCACTGCCACTGCCACTGCCACTGCCACTGCCACTGCCACTGCCACTGCCACTGCCACGACCACTGCCACTGCCACTGCCACTGCCACGACCACGACCACGACCACGACCACGACCACGACCACGACCACGGCCACGACCACGACCACGACCACGACCACGACCACGACCACGACCACGACCACGACCACGACCACGACCATTACCACTACCACTACCACTACCACTACCACTACCACTACCACTACCACTACCACTACCACGACGACTACGAGGACTACGACGACTACGACGACTACGACGACTACGACTACGACTACGACTACTACTACTGCTACTACTGCTACTACTACTACTACTGCTACTACTACTACTACTACTACTGCTACTGCTACTGCTACTGCTACTACTACTACTACTACTACTAGACACCCCCCACCCACAAACAGTCGCTTAAACCGATGGGCAGAAAGGGAACGGTGCGGAAATCAGGAGGGCGAAGCAATTATCTGTATGCAGGAAAAACTGCAGACTACGCAGGGAACAGAAAGAGAACACAACTCATCGTCACCATCATCGCGTGGGCGCTTCCAGTTCTTGGCCATGGCTGACTCGTGTACTCTGAGCGCAAGCTAGAGGGGCGGCAAAATCACTGTTTGAGGCTGCCATGTTTGTCATTATCCACAGCAAGAACAGTGTTAAGGAGAGGTGGTGTAGGGCATTACTACTACTTTCACTACCACTACTACCACTACTACCACTACTACCACCACTACCACAACTACCACTACTACCACTACTACCACCTACTACCACCTACTACCACTACTACCGCTACTACCACTAGTACCACTAGTACCACCACTACTATTACAGCACTACCACTACCACGACTGCGACCACGACCACTGGCACTACCACTCCATTACCAGTTCCACTACCACTACCACTACCACCACCACCACTACTCACTACCATTACGTCTACTGTACTACTACTAAGATGATGACGACTAGTGCTACTTCTTCTTTGCTTCTGACGATGACGACCAAGGCCACACTTTTGGGTTTAGGCTTTGCCACCCATCATCTCCTGTGGGCTTTGGGGTTGCCACCCAAGCTACTCGACAACGGTTTGGGTTCTTTGGTGCTGGATCTCACGGGTTCACTTTCTACCTCAGAGGTTCTGGGCGATATGCACAGGTTTGCTCGGCATTGTAACGCCGAAGCTCTCAGACTCTGGTCACATGGTCAGTCGTTGACATGATGACGCTAGCATCACTCAGAAGGTGGGGACTGATGCAGGCAAAATCTGCTCCTGGAGACAGCATTTTACAAGGTTTTCTGAGTGAACGCCAGGGGTGCTTCAGGAAGCTGCGTTTTGAAGCTCTGAAGCTCGAGTATTCAGTAGTGTCAGAGCGTCGGCGAAGCTCCGGTTTTTGTTAACTACACGCTGAACCCTGAAACATCTCGAATACTACGTGTGCGAGAATCGGGGCCCGCGGCATCCCTTTCTGCTGTGTTGCAAGCATGTCCGTTTGGCAAGCACGCTGTTATGGAGGACTTTCAATCCCGCTTCCGGGAGTTCGAGAAGTTCTTGCGCCGGCGGAAGAGGGACGTGCAGCAGGCGTGCATAAGCCCGTGGCACCGCCTGTCGCATCCGCGGGCTTTCATCCAGAGGTACTTCAGCGCGAGTGGATGCCCACGGACCTGCTGCGTGCCTTTGTGGTCTTCGACATGCCTCTGGGACAAGATGTTTTATGGGGAGTCTTGAATGCAATGTCCTGCTGTCGCCTGCGGGTGCTCAGGTTGTGCTACCAAAACGAGTGGTTCACGTCTTGTCCTTAAAGGATTCTAGAGACGCGCGATTTGTGCGGTTGTCGGCACTTGCGGCGCACTTGCGGCGAGGCCCTTGTACCGGCTCCCGAGCTCAGACGATGGCCGGAAGCGCGCGGCGCGGTGGCTGCGCCATGATCCGGAGCTGAGGCCCAGCTGAAAAGGGCACACGCGGCGTGCGAATTTCGGGCCGCCGGGCAGGGACCTGCCGGTGCGGATTGAAGTGGACGTCAACGCGTCCTTGAAGATGCGCGTGCAGAGGGCGCTGCCATGGCAGCTCAGGCCCGGGGGCACTGGGGAACGCGCACCCCGGACCCTGCGGCGCATGCTGTTTGTGCCGCGGATCTGCGCAGGAAGCTGCTGCCTGAAGCCGCCTGATTTTCCCTGTGCCAAAGACTGCCAAGATGAAAAGACTTCGAAGTGAAAAGGATTGTCCTTGCAACTACAAGAGGTGTAGTGAAATGTCACGCGGAGTCGAAGCCCCGGTTCCCAGAGAACAGAGACACCGCAGATCCTTTCCAATTTGCAATTTATCTGTGCCAGCTGCCGCTGTGCCTAAGAGGTCATGTCGCAGTCAAGACCGCCACATGCTCTGCGGGCAGAACCTTCACAAGACTTAGATAGAACTGCATCGCAAAGTGCTCCCTGCTACTCACTCTCGTTTGACAACTGTGGTTTGCCATGATCGCAGCACCTCTGTGGCCACCGTCCGGAACTTGGCTTCCAGTGGCAGGTCTGAGCAGAGCATCTGGACGATTAGGATCAGGGCAGCCAGGGCAGCGGAAGCCCGGAACATGGGACCAGAGTAGACGCAGCCAGGGACGAGGCAGGTGCCAAAGCGCCAAGTGGTCGGCTCTCGTCGGAGGTGCAGCGCTGGGCGCTAGATCTCGAGCACGATGCGGCAGCCATTCCAATTCTGCTTCTCCCCTCGAGCTCTTCCCCGTGCCTGGATCTCCCGAGATCGAGTTGGAAGTTCTCGGCGGAGAAGGTGACGGCAGCAAAGTCCAGCCATTCACACTGTTACTCATCCACGGGAGTTACCACGCAGCATGGTGCTACGAGGAAAATTTCCTTAGCTTCTTCAGAGGTCAGGGATTCCACACATATGCCCTTTCTTTGCGAGGGCAGGGACGTGGCAAGATGGTTCCGAAGCTTCCCGTGGCTGGGGCACTAGAGGAGCACGCGTCCGACATCCAGGCCTACGTTCATCATCTCAGGGAACTTCACGGGCAGCCGGTGGTCCTTTTGGGCCACAGCTTCGGTGGTCTGATGGTGCTGCAGGCAGCGGCGGCCTTGAAGGATTCCCAAAAAGGGGCCTTGGCTGGGCTAATTCTGCTTTGTAGCGTCCCGCCGGCGGGCAATGTGGGCATCATCCTTCGCAGCCTCTTCAAAGCTCCATTGCAAGCTCTGCGTATCACCTGGGGCTTCGTTGCACGTGCCTTCGAGAGAGATGCGGAGCTTTGCCGACAGGCCTTCCGGGCCTTCCTTCCTTGCCTCTCCATTTTGTAGCCCTGCAAAGCCATGTGGTCTGATGCAGTGACATACACATATATTCTGTGGCGGAGATGTCGTAGCTGTACCTGTTCCGCCTCGCTTTACAGCTATTCTTCGATGCGGACACCCCTGCGGAAGACGTCGGAAAGTACATGGACCTGATGAAAGAAGGACAGTCCTTGCTCTTCCATGTGGCAGATGCCTCGTGCTCTACGCTGGAAGGCTGTCCCGAAGGAACCCGATTGCTAGACCTGCGCCAGCTGCAGAGGTGGCTTGAGCATGCTCTTATGTAGCCTGTAGCCTGCGTCCGAGCGAGGTCACTACCGGTGGAAGCCTGCGGGCATGCACCGGTGCTTGTTCTTGGAGGCCTGGGGTCTGTTTCCAACGCATTCGGGTCTTGCCTTGCCGCGTCTCGCTGCCAGGTGATGCAGATGTCATCGTAGACAAGGAGGCCTGCTCCGAATGCAAAGCCAGCTTTAGCCAGAGAAGTGCCATGGGGCTCGTGGCGCCGAACTACTACTTTTACCTGCAGCCTTTGCTTGGGCTTCAGCTGTAGCCGGGCAGATTTGTCACATGGCTTGAGAGAGACGTGCAGGGATTGTTCGCTGGCTTTCTTCCAGTTGCGATAGTTTGACGACCACTCATCCGAAAGCCGCCGACAGCAAAAATGGTCGAAGACGCGAGAGTCAAGGACAGTTTAACGTCCGCAGCGAAGGCGCCGGATAGCTGGACCATGCCTCTGACAGTGACCCCTAAAGGTGGCATGTATCCTGTGCCTTTCGTACTGGGCTTGGATGTGTACAGCTACAAATATGGCAAGCACATGGCTTCCCGTGCAGAGGCTCGCGCACAAACGAGCGTCCGAGAACAAAGCGGCGGCGGCGCTGCAAAGAGGCGGCCGACGAGACCAGCAAGCGCGACACCTGCCAAATTGGTGCAGGCGGGCGTTCATGGGAGCACGACCTTTCTTTGGAACGGTGATGGAGCTCATTCAGCAGACTCTGGCGCGTCCCAAGTTCGGAAAAAACGACAGAAACGCACGGATGACCTGCTTCATGAGTTGGTGATGACTTTCGGAGACCCGATCGATGCTGTTTACGAGTGGTTTGAGATCTTTGCCTTTTATTCCGATCCTCCGGAAGCAGTTGCTTTGCCCAAGCTGCCGGAAAGGAGAGAGCAGGATATGTTTATGGACAAAATCGAGTTGCCGACGTCGCAGAGCCTCTCCTGCCTCACTTCCAGGCAGAACACCAAGCGACCTGTCAGGAGAGGTCGCACACAGTCCTTTTCGGCGCCGCGCTTGCGGAGACCCGAGATGATCAGTGTGAAGAGTCCCTCCTTCGAGGGCCACAAGAAGTTTGAGGCTCTTCGAAGTGAGCTCTACAAGACACGCTCCTTGCTGAAGGAGGCTGGGCTGGCAGGAAAGGGAGCTGGCCACTTGGATTTGGGCCACCGGTTTAAGGCCCAGGCCCTGAACGCAGAGTCCTTTGCAAGCTGGATGGAGAGCTTCACCTTCATTCTCAACCTTCAAAGGCCCAAAGCCGACATGCCACCAGGAAAAGATCACAGCCGAAGCAGTCGCCACAGTCGCCGCAGCCAGCACAGCCGGCAGACCAGAGGTGGCCACAGCCCATCCTCGCGGCGACGCTCGGTGGCGAAGCCTTCTGGGCCCTCCGACGTAGAGAATGTCACCAAAAGGCTGCTGGCAAGACTGGACCAGAGGGTCTTGATTGGTAGCTGGGAGGTCATCACTATGGAGGACCAAAAGGAATCCAGCAGTGCCGCCAGCAGCGACGATGACATGGAGAGAAGGCAGATGATCGCGCAAAGCTTGTCTCAAACAGATGCGAGGCAGATCATGTTGCGCAGCAGTAGCCTAGCCATGCTGAACTCGGGCATGATCAAGAAGTCAAAGTCCACAGCTGCGGACCGTGCAAAGCCGGGGTATGACGAAGTGGTCAAGACGCGCGCTCGAATTCTAAACGGCATTGCACCTGCAGAAATGACGGTCAAGAACTTGACATCTTTCCTGGCTCTTTTCGGGATGCAGCGCAAGGAAGCGTGTCAACGTGCTGCCAAATACTTTCTCTTTGCTGTCCCGTGCAGTTCGCACACGAGAGCCAGCAATCAATCTGAAATGGATGATGAAGAGAATCAGGAAGACGGAGCATGGCTTCAGGAGAAGCTTCCCTTCGAAGTCTTCTACCGCCTCATGCGGGCTCTGCAACCTGAGGACTCCAGCGACGTGGCCACTTCCTATTTGGCATCCGAGCTCCTCTCGCGACTGCTGTTCTGTGTGCTCGTGGGCCACGAGGGCGTGCACCACTCAGCCGGTGCAGCCGCGCGCTTCCTGGACGACTCGTCGCCCCAAGGCGTCTCCAGTGCCAGCCTGGCTCAGTCATTGCGCCTCATCTTGTCCAACGAGCTCCTCTCCTCCGAGTCCAGCTTGGAAGCACAGGTCCTGGCTCTTGCGGAGCCCGGTGCCCGGTCCGGCCTTGCCCTGCAGCCCTCAGTGGAGCTTTGCCATGCTTTCGAGGTTTCTGAGTTTGGCGCTCCAGCGCAGCGAGGCGCGGCGCAGTCCCCACGAGAGTCCTTGTGGTGTTGACATGCTCATCGCAGCCTTAGAGCACAGCCCTGCGCAGTGCTCCGAACTGGGAGGCACGTTGGAAGCGCGTCGCGTCCGAAGAGTCTTGTACACGACTCAGTTTTGTGCAGAAACTTCGAGTACTTTCAAGTGTGGTAGGTAAGACCAGTGCCTTGCTGGCCCGCCAATGCCCAGCTATGCGGTGAGGTGGCGTTAGCTACAACGGTTTCCTGACTTTCATGAAGCAGCAGCCAGATGACAGAACCTCAGATGCCCTTCGCATTTTGTGGTCTACTCGGCGTGTTCAGAGGCCTCCGTGCATCTCCTCTTCCTCCTCCTACCGCTAGCGCGGTTGGGACCAAAATTTGCTGCGGAGGACTGCGTGCTGTAATCCTGATGCTTACTCTGTGGATCCTAGACGCCTAGACGACCGCAAGCGCCGAGAAAGAGGCAATGGAAATGACACGAAGCAAATCAAGACTCACATCGTCGTTCGAATCCACTACTGTTCCTAACTGGAGTCGCAGCCAGAAGCAATCAAGCGATTCTTAGTTGGAATCAAGAGGAGTCTGGGGCGGAGGGGCTAGTCAGTCGACTTGTAGGGAGCGGTGTCCAGAGAAGCGAAACTCTTTGTGTTCAGGCTTGGGGCCCAGGGATTCTGTGAACAGATGTGAAAGCAGGAGATGTACCTGATTCGCAAGGGACTGTCCCACCGGGCTGGCGAACTTCGAGCGAAGGAACTCCCGAAAGTGCAAGCGGCAGTGCGATTTTCAGGCAGATTAAGTCATTCAGGGAATGTTGGAGAGTGCCAGGCAGCCAAGTTGACTCGCCAGCGGCAGAAGAGGTAAGAATGCTCGGCTGTGGTTGTTCAGCCACATCATGGCTGACGGACCCTTGAGTCAGGTGGCTTCTTGACCTCTGCTCCAACCTCGTCCAACCTTGGATTGAGGACTGCTGTGGAGTGTATGCAGAGCGTGTTCAGAATCTGGATACCGCACGCCGCTTGAAGGCCAACACGTCGAAGGTCAAAGCGTAAAGCTTTGGCGCTCGCCAGGCCAGTTTTTCGAGACTGAAGCCTTGGCTTTTTAGCGAAGTGCATCGGCCAAAGCTTGCCGAGCTCTCGTCTCACTGCAAGACCGAAGTCGTCTGCCTGGCACTCGTACAGACTGCCACTTCCATTGCAAGGATGCGCAAGAAGCGAAGTCTTTTCTTTGGATTCTCTGGAGAAGTTGTAGCAAAAGCGGCTTTGCTCCCTCGCATCGTCTCAGCTACAGCTGCAGCTCGAGTCGAGAGATCCACTCCGTGGATTGCAGGCCTTGCAGGAGGCTGCTGCAGCACATGGAGTGGAGCCCGTCGTCTTGCAAGGCGGCAAAGCGTGCAAACTGATCTGCACCCGAAAGGGCTGGAGAGCCAGGAGTAGCGCATGACGCCATGCTGGGAGCCAGGCACGGCACTTGTGCAACCTGCTTCGACAAGCTTGCTTCCTGCATGCACGACATGTCGCATGCCTCGTCGCGACGTGTAGCAGCATGTCTCCAGTGGCACTTTCCGGGTAGCGAGCCCGGGGGAGCCGAGTTTCTCGGAGGTTCGTGCAAATTCAACAATCCAGTTTTGAGGTGGAAGATGGCTGCGGATGCCATCCTTGGCTGGCTTGCTCACGTGAAGCCTGAAGCGTAGCTTCGAAGGTGCGACAACGGAAAGTGCTGAGCCCTCTGCGTCGTAGTTTTCTTGCTATGGAAGCTTGACCGAGGATGAAGGAAGGAATTGTTGACATTTGCGTGCCTAGAGCCCGTTTGCCGCCCGCCTTGGCTCGACAAGGGCGAGAACGCTAGTCTTGTCGTGCTGCTGCAGTTTCTGGAGGAAATAGGCTGGTGCACTGCTCGTTTCGTTGCTTTCATGGTCATGCTTGGCTGCGTTTGTGAGCCGCTAGATTCACACTGGAGTTCTGCAGGTCGTTTGATGATGACCCGGCTGTGTGCCCTGCTCCTCTCGGCGTTGCTGTTTGAATCGAGCCCGCGCCGCAGATTCTCAGGTTGCCTTCACGTCGCACATTATTGTGCTTGTTTCCCGTAGTTGAGCATGACCTGACTTGGGTGATATGCTGAGGAGCGTGCACCGGTGAGCCAGACGGACTGGGCGGGGTGTGAGGTCGTTTGCTTACATGCTCAACGAGGCACCAGGTTCATGATGTGCATTTGTTGCGCAGGATCACCATGTACTCGGAATGGTGTGGGGTCTGTATGCCAAGATGGGACATGCTTGGAGTCGAGTCAAGCAACGTGTTTCGGCAAGCAGCGGGGATACTATTGCTCGCACTCCGGGCCTTCGATTTGTTACCCAGACCTAAGCCTATTCTCGGACGTCATGACGTGCACGAAAGTCTATGATATTGAGTCCCGCCTTGCGGAACTCGCCTGTGACTCGAAGACCAAAGGCGAAAGCTGCCAGTACACCGAAGTTACTTCTCCTGAAGACAACATCACCATTGACCTGGATTCTGTGTGTCACAACCCGTACGGGCCCCACAACAGCCCGTACGGGCCGAACAACACCTATGGAAGCTACTGCTTGAAGCCTGAGTATGCAGCGTGCTCGGGCAAGACGGTGGGAAACAGTTGTTCTTACTCCGAGGGTGATTACGCCAACTCCAGGCAGTATGACTTCGTGGGAGAGCCGATCGATGACCCATGCTACAAGATCCCGTGTCGACTGGAGTACGCTGGAGGGGAATGCTCCATCGATGGGGAGATGTTCAAGTGCAAGGGTGCGCAGCTTGCAAACACAGTGCAGCTAGCAGAGCTAGCATCATCAGGACGCGTTCGCCCAGCTTGTCTCCTTCTTGCCTTTTTGTTCGCCGCCATTGCCGCCCACTCGGACTCATGAGATTGGCCCCTAAGGGGCGACGGCAGTGGCGGGTGAGTCTGAGAGCTGGCGCGGCCTGGGTGAATCGAGGTATACTCTCTTGGGGCCCAGGATATTTGATCAGCGCTGCAAGCTTTTTGAGGCTCACTCTTCTATTTGGTGACTGCAACGCGAGCGAAAAGCGCACAAGCACGTGCCGCTGATTTCTTTGGGGCGGAAGCCTTCTAGAACAGATTCATTCAAACTGACCCCTAAAGGCTAAAGAGGCTTAGCAAGATTGAATAACCTTTAGGGATAAAGCTGTTGAGAGCTATTGAAGATGAGCATGAATGAGGTTATGAGACAGAACACAATCTGCAAATAAGATACAAGCCGGAAAGAGAAATCCGTGAGAACACTTAAAAGGCTCAAGCCCGCTACGGGAGTGAGCATTGCAGCCTTGCACAGGACAACCCGAAGGCTCCACGCGTGAAGCAAATCAATCGAATGCTTGAAATTCATGCTGTTTCAATCGGCGCTTGAAACAGGACATGTTGGTCAATCGAGACTGTTCTTTAATTTTAACGCTACGCCGCCCGCCTCGGCTCTCCAGTGGCAGGGCGAGGGTGTTGTGTTCGGTCTGGTCAGGCAGAGTTGCAGGGTTTTAGGTGAGCACTTCAACAAAGAACAGATTCCAGACTTCTTCCTTGAACATTGTATGCGCGCTGTGGACGTGGACGTGGACCGACCGGCCGGACCGCGCAAAACAGGAAATGACAAGACGGAAGGAGCCTGCACACAAGGAAAAGCAAATTGAAGCAAGAGTTTAAGCCCACAAGGCACCGGGCAGGCACGGGAGAAGTGGGGGGCGGGGAGAAGGCGGAAGAAAGGGGCGGAAGGGGGGGAGGGGGGGGAGGGGGGGGGGGGGGGGGGGGCGGGGGGGGGGGGGGGGGGGGGGGGGGGGGGAAGGGGGGGGGAGGGGCGTGTGAGGGAGAGGCAGGCCAACAAATCAGGTAAAATGAAGGGAAGCCGGGCAAGGGGGTGGCAAACGAACGCAAAAAGCGGGTGTCCCCAAACATTTGGACCGCAGGGAGGAGGATTAGGTGGAGGGTACCTGAGCTAACCCCCAAGACGCCTGGGCCTGTGGCCTCGGCGGATATTTGCTCGACGCTTGATTCCCCGATTGATTCTTCGCTTGATTCCTCGATTGATTCAGGAAGGCTCCTCGCTTGATTCCTTGATTGATGTTGAACTCGATTGTTTTCCCTTATGTTCTATCGTATAGGATGCATATTACATATATATATATATATGTCTCCTAATTATCGGTCTGGTGGGTAGGAATTAGGAGATCAGTTTCGCGATCGTTGGAACAGACTTGATCTATCTTCTCCGTGGCCATTTTGGCGATAGCCGATCGGGCCATACCGAAAAATTCGGCGTGGGAGGTGGAAGTGAATAGGCTCGCTCGATTGCAGCCATGTCGTTCCCTCCCGCTGGCTTCCATCAAGGTCGGCAGATGGCGGCTCCGATGGCCCCACAGTTCGGGTTGCCTCGCCGGCTTGGTCAGCCTGAGAATCCGGGTAACTGGGGACACTACGTTCCAGGCGAGGCAGAGGCTCCCGAGAATCCCGCGGCTCCACCTGCCGCATCCGGCGATTGGGGCTCTGGAGGCTGGGGTCGCGACGATCGTCGTGGACGTCGTGACCGTGGGGCTCCTGCTGCTCACAACCCCTTCGCTGTTCAGCGGCCTGAGTTCGTTCGCCAGCTCGTGGTCGAGGAAGAGGACGAGACCCAGAACTCGCTCCTCGTCATCGACAACCGCGATGACCGGGTGATCTCCCCGTTCCAGAACTGGCTGGCCGAGGAGATCATCTCGAATGCCGCCAGCTCGATCAATGTGCTGACGGAGCGGGACTCGGTCATGCCCCCGAACTCGGGCTACCACTGTTCGCTGTTCGCGAACTATACGCTCGATGGCATCAAGGCCGTTCTGCTCTTTTCGATGTCTTCGAAAACAGGGGGACCATGTGCTCAGTGGGACTCCTACGCGAGTCGGGCGCTATCGCACCCGGCTTTCCAGCCCTTCACTTGGCCGGTGATGTTCGATACCTCGGCCACCTATGTGGATGTGAAGGTCTTCAATGGAAACGAGGTCCTGTTCCATTGGGTCTTCAGGGGCTACCGCTCGGACTCGGATCTTTCTGTCCAGCAGCAGTTCTGCGACGAGGTGTTGATCCGGTCAGCCAACGAAGGATGGTTCCGACCCTCGATCGTCATCTCGGTCTTCGTTGGATGGAAGGTCTCCGTGACCTCGTTCGAGGTTGGAGCCCGAGTCTACACGATCGGCCCGAGAGGAGCAGTGATGGCGAGCGACCATGCCATGAGCACTTGTGAGCTCAGGGTGACAGAACGCTCGTCCCGAGAAGGCTATGGGAACGACGCCGATCGTGTTGAGTTTCGGTTCCGGGACGCCAATAACCGGATCGATCTCAAGTGCGGGAGGACTTCGGTGCCTGGCACGTGGCTCACAGTCAGCCACATCTCGGGCCCGGCTCTGATCAGCACGATCCAGGCCTGTCGGACCCAGCGTGCTCGCGTGGAAGGTCCAGACCACATCCAGCAGTTCGCGCAGCTGTCTGCGGTGATCGCCCCCTGGTACCACAGTGCGTTCGCCAACGAACAGGTGCAAGTGGGAACTGCGACAGACGAGTTCCCGATGGATCATGGGAACTTCCACGTACGGGCTAGATCTAAGCTCAGGGTCTGCCCACTGGAGTTCGTCCGGCAGGAGGCGCTCGCCCACCGGTCGCACGATGAGAACAACGCCGTTCGAGCTCGGAACGGCCCCCCGGCTCTCATGGAAGAGGCGGCTCGGCAGGCGGTTCAGCAGCTGGGCTCCTCGGTCACTTCGGCGATCACCAACATGCCCACCTCGGCTCAGCAGGTGTTCGACCAGAGGGTGAGCACTGTTCCGGTGCCGGAGGAGGGCCAGCTCGGCCAGGAGCAGATTGCCGAGGAGGTCGTCACCGATGCCCGCGATCGCATGAGGGCCGACATGCGATTCTCGCGCACGTCGGCTGCGATCACGCCTCAGGTTTTCACCGACGTGCTCCAGCACCGTGAGCAGGCGGAGTACGAGCGGATCAGCACGGTCAGTGGAGGAGACGGGCCAAGAGATCACGGCTTCCCCCTCCACTACGACCACGGTGCCGAAGGCGTTCGCCCCGGCTTACCCGCCGGCCAGATCGTCAACGGGGCCCTACACGATGGACAATTCGGAGTAGTTGTCGATCGAAGCCTAGGTGATGGTCGGTTTTTGTGCACGCTCCTAAGAGAGTGGTGCGCCGCGCGACCGAAGCCTCCTGGCGGATCAGCCGGGCTCTTCCGCGGAACAAACATGCCGAGCGATCCTCTCGGCGCGCTAGATCCCAGCGCATGTTCTGCCGGAAGTGAGATTGATCAATACCTGTCTCAGGCACGGCGCTCGGTTACCATTAGCAGGCACGTGCGATCGTTCGTGCAGCTGTTCAGGCCCAGCATGGATAGGTCCGTTCGGAAGATCCTATCCCTCCCCCTGTTCGGGGATGAATTTTGCCAATGGTTGGTGGATCTTCGGATGGCTCAGTTCGAGAAGCTCACGGCTGTTTCGGACGGGACGATCGCTGAGTGTGTGCAAGCATTCATTGATCTTGTCCCTGCCCTCGAGGAACTCCACACGCCAGATCGGCGGAAGAACGAGGAGGAGCTCGGCAGGTGGGTTCCGTCGATCGAGCTGTTGTTTGTGCTGGTTCGTAGCACGGCAGCAGCGGGCTGGGCTGATCTGGCCACTGATCTGGGATTCGGCTTGGCTGAAGCTCCGGTCGTCTTCGGGCGATCGCCACTGAAGTCGAAGGGGACTGGCAAGGAGCCTCCTATGCCATTGCCGCTCGCCAAGAGGCCGCGGGCGATCGAGCCGAGGCCTGAAGATCCGCAGGCATCGCTCAAAACCCGTGAGCTCGGCGAGGCCCGAAAGTGGGGCATGAGGCTGAAAGCGATCGTGGAGAGGTGCGGCGAGCACGCCGCGATCGCGGGCAACCCGAAGCCGGGATCACCCCTGTCTCAAGATGAGATGAATGCATTGAGGTTGATCGTCTTCGAGAGTGGCGGTTTCCGCACTATCCAGCAGTGCGTTCGTCACTGGGAGAGGATTGAGACTTGGGCGAGGTCGCAGAACCTAGCGGTGATCCCGCTGACTACCGACGTGCTCGTCAAGTACCTCTTAGATCTCTCCGACCGAGGTTGCGGCCCCACCGTGATACCTTCGGTACGTGGGGCGGTCAAATGGATCTGCAAGCGGATCGGCTTGTCGTTGCCCGACCTCCTCGATCCCCGGATCATGGCCTTGCAGAAGAAGGTCTATGGCGATCGCGGGAAAGAGACGAGGGAAGCGGTTCCCATCCCTCTGATCTTGGTGGCGGCGCTCGAGCGGTTCGTGTGCGCTCGTTTTAAGTCGAGCCAATTCCCCATGGCGTTCTTCGCATGGTGGGTTCTCGTGATGATCTACTCGTCCCTCAGGTTCGACGACGCGCTCCACGTCGTGCCCGAGGCGCTCGCCCTGAAGGACGAGGCTCTCTATGGGGTGGTTTGGCAGACTAAGGTCGAGCGACAAAAGAAGGGAACGCGGTTCGCGGCGGCCAGAGTCTCCGTCTCCGGATCCGACTGGATGGAAGACGGATGGCACGCAGCTGCGTTCGAAATGGACGATCGCGACTACTTCATGAAAGAGCTCGAATCGGCTGAGCGATTCGCCGATCGGCCTGCCAGCTACCAACGGAGCATCCTGTGGCTGCGGTACGTGCTCACTACTGCAGCTTCGGACGATCTGAAGCGCGGGCACATCTCGCCCGAGCGGCTCAAGGAGCTCCTGAAGATCGTGCCGGAGATCACCTGGCACTCCTGCCGAGTCACGCTGCTCTCGGCGGCGGTCCAGGCGCAGGAGCCCGATAAAGAGATCGGGCTCCAAGCGAACTGGAAGGATCCGAGCCAGCTGGTCCTGAAGT